CACCTGTGGCGCGTATAGTCAATTCCCTTGCGTTTGACGTTTACACACTACCGCCATCTGTTCAGTGTAGTGCCCACCACAGTGTACTCAACACCGGTAATGTTTTAGCGACAATGTTTTACAGTGAGAAATATTCCATGTGTTATGTCTGTTTGTCTGTGGCTATAGTCTGCTAAATTTTGAGATTATAGGGAGATGTGGTCAAATTGTAAAATCAACACTTATTAGTGTTTATGTTGTTTAAATGCATCCAAAACATCAGTTTTGCAATAAACGCCAACATTACCTAACGGAATAATTGATCAGACCATTATTCCGCAAGGAAAGTGAAATTGCATTCAGAATGCGCCACCTTCATATCGATCACGATACTAATGTAATCGATCTTTCCTTTACCGATTTCTTTTGAACTGCGTGCTGGGTCAAGAAATGCTAATTAAAAGAAATTTCTTTAGCAAATTTCTTTAGAAATTTCTTTAGCATTCCGTGTCCTATAAAATTAAAACGTCATTACTTTTCAGCTGCGTACCAGGCTTTAAGTATCGTGATCGATATGAAGGTGGCGCATTCTGAATGCAATTTCATTTTCCTTGCGGAATAATGGTCTGACCAATTATTCCGTTAGGTAATTTTAACGTTTGTTGTAAAAATGATGTTTTGGATGCATTTTAACAAGATAAAAAATGATAATTGTTGATTTTAAAATTAGACGACACCTACCTATGATCTCAAAATTTAGCAAAAGACACCTCCCTATAGCTGTCATATCGTTAGAGTATGGTACCCGTTTATAAGGGAATTTTTCAGTATACCACATGGCAACACCACTACTACTGGATTGTACCACATGGCAACACTACTAATGGATTGTACCACATGGCAACACTACTAATGGATTGTACCACATGGCAACACTAAGTGTACTAGAATGTTTTGGTTCTATCTCCTTCACTCTACTCTAAACTGAAATGCATAAAAAATGACAAAATGATACACTCTTTGCACACTGTCAAAGATCATATTGCACACAAAATCAACTATGCTTCTAAGAAAATTCTATTACAGCGAACCACATTATTTTAATTGATTTCTTCGCCAGTTAGTCGTCTGTCACTTCGTTTGTGGTTCAGTGCTGCCAGTAAAAACGACCTCTAAAGATGAATTTTTGACAGTTGTACAACTTTACTTTCAAAAAATGCACTTTTAAATTTACAAGTCGGAAGTGAAAGCAAAACTTTTAAGGCGAAAAGATAAATGTTATGTTCAATATTTTCGCAGTTGAAACTACGGATTTTGGGAAACTTTTAATTTGAAAATGCATTATATTTATTGATACAATTTTAGTTTTTTGTGTGTACTATCTTCGGTCCCAAGCTAATCGATTCACCCCTCGAAACACAGAAAAATCCCCTCATTTTATGTGTCAAACTTTCATAGCGAATCAAAACAAACATAGTATAGTACTGGAATTTATACTAGAATGGGGTACGTTAGTCGATTTGCTTGGGACCAATAGGCTAGTCAAGTAGGGAGCTAATTTAAAATCGTTAGTTTCGTATTGATTGTTGATTGAACTACTACTGGATTGAACTAGCATTTTCACCAAATGTACTAGAATTTTTGGTTCTATCTCTTTCACTCTATTCAAAACTAAAATGCATAAAAAAATGACAAAATGATACCCTCTTTGCACACTGTCAATCATTGTACACAAAATCAACTTTGTGCAAAACCAAAACAAAAATACTATCTCATCTGGTGGATGATGGCACAAGTTTCTAAGAAAATTCTATTACAGCGAACCACATTATTTTAATTGCTTTCTTCGCCAGTTAGTCGTCTGTCACTTCGTTTGTGATTTAGGTTTAGATTTGTGGAAAATCGTAAAACAAGACAATTACTGATGGAAATAGGCAAGATGTTCAATGAAAAAAGTTTAATTTGTGTTGTGAAAAATACTTATTCTGATGTAAACAAACGGTTTCGTTGACGTTTCCTCTCGTACTCGCCTGGCGCACTCTACATTTGTGGTGCATTAAAAAAGCCTACTGCATTATGAGAATACATCTTTTACATTTTTTTCCCGTAAGGGGAACCCGAAAAAAAAATAACAACAAAAATACATTAAAAAACAATGTAACAATAAGACGAAAATTATTGTCTTAACAATAATTTATATTGTTACGTCTACAATAAATTTACCATGTTTTAAGTTGTACAAAACAGTAAATTTCATGGTAAATGGAAAATTTACAATAAAAAAGGGGGTTGTTAAGTATCTTAACAATGAAATTTTCGTGATTTCCCCATATATATTTTTTTCAATAACATTATATATTATTGTTATTTTATTGTTGGTTGGCGAATTTGTTGATTTAAAAAAATTACAATGTACTTTAGAGTGTATGTGTTGGCTTGACAGTTCTACCAACAATCAATACGAAACTAACGATTTTAAATTGGCTCACCACTTTAGTAGCCTATTGGTCCCAAGCAAACGATTAACGTACCCTATTCTAGTCGAAATTCTAGTACTACGCAATGTTTGTTTTGATTCGCTATGAAAGTTTGACAGATAAAATGAGGGGTTATTGGTTTTTCCTATGTTTCGAGGGGTGATTCGACAAGCTTGGGACCAGAGGTGAGCCAAAAAGTTGAGCACGTTTCTTCGGGACCTACTTGTCTTAGAGTTACCTCTATGGTTCTACTTTATCGAGTTTAAAAATAAATCGAAAAAATAAAACATCGCCCCGGGAAGGGAAGGGGGTGGTATCATAGAGGTAACTCTAAGACCACTGGGTCCCGAAGAAAATCATTATTATTTTTGGCTCACTCAGTACCAGAATAACGGTCCCAAGCAGTTATTCTTCATGCCGTCACGGTTCCTGCGGATCGTACAATCCTGATCCTGTCGGACTACCACAGTGTTATTCAGGCCCTTTCGTCGGAGGTCCCGGTCCACCCCTGGATCCAGGGCATACTGAAGGTTGCGCCACCAAACACTACCTATCCCAGGGAACATCGAGGCGGACAACCTAGCCGGGTCAGGCCCATCTGGTCCTCGGTACTCGCACAAGGTGCCGTTGCAGGACGTGAAGAGATGGATCACTTGCACAGTGCGGACAGCATGGGCAACTTCCGTTTATTAGAAAAATTAAAGGCGACATCGGAAAGAAGACGGACCTTGCAAACCTGCGAGACCAGAGGATTTTTTTTCCAGACTCCGGACAGGACACTCCTCAATCTCACGGGATTTCAGCGGAGGACCCTTCAGGAAGACCTGTGAGTTCTGCCATATTCCTTCGACAGTGGAGCACGTGTTATACGTATATCCACAATTCGAGCACCTTCGTTGCCTCCACGGTCTGCCTGCCAGCGTACGGGACACGCTAGCAGACGTGCCCTCAACTCAAGCAGCTGTACCAACAATCAATACGAAACTAACGATTTTAAAATGGCTCACTACTTGACTAGCCTATTAGCATAGAGGTAACTCTAAGACCACTGGGTCCCGAAGAAAATTATTATTATTTTTGGCTCACTCAGTACCAGAACAACGGTCCCAAGCAGTCCCAAGCTATTTCACTCACCCCTGCATGTTCTGCATGAATCCACACACCCCTGATGTTATCTGTCAAACTTTCATAGCGAATCAAAACAAACATAGTGTAGTAATAGAATTTCAACTAGAATAGGGTACGTTAATCGTTTGCTTGGGACCAATAGGCTACTAAAGTGGAGAGCCAATTTAAAATCGTTAGTTTCGTATTGATTGTTGGCTGTACTGCGCTTTTTGAAGGCGGCGAAGCTATACTGCAGGATTTAGCACCATCGATTCCTTCGGCCTTCTGGACGGGGCTCCCAAGGACCTCATACAGTGGACCTATGTTTTGTTATTGTTTTTTTGTGTGTTCTTTTTATATTTTGTTTTTCTTAATTTGTATCTTTTTAGTCTGTCTTTTTCATATGTTGTTTACTGTGTTATTGTACTAGCTGTTTATATTTTTAGTTAAAACGCTGGCCAGACTGAGCAGTTATAACAACAATCAATACGAAACTAACGATTTTAAATTGGCTCACCACTTTAGTAGCCTATTGGTCCCAAGCAAACGATTAACGTACCCTATTCTAGTTGAAATTCTATTACTACACTATGTTTGTTTTGATTCGCTATGAAAGTTTGACAGATAACATCAGGGGTGTGTGGATTCATGCAGAACATGCAGGGGTGAGTGAAATAGCTTGGGACTGCTTGGGACCGTTGTTCTGGTACTGAGTGAGCCAAAAATAATAATGATTTTCTTCGGGACCCAGTGGTCTTAGAGTTACCTCTATGTTATAACGGTTGTCAAATAATTGCAACACAGAAACCACCATCAAGATAGCGCTATAACATGTTATAACTCTATAGTCTGAACGTACTATAAGTAGATTATCAAAGGTAGCATGATACTCAAGCAACGGAGATGAAATAGCCTACGGCTAAAAATCTTCTAAATAAAGAAAGAAAGAAAATCTGCAGGGAGAGGAATTTTTAAACACTGGTGAGATCTGCATGTCTGCTACAGGAGTCTATGTTCCTCGCATTCACATGTTAATTTTCCCACGTGTCCGGATGAAGCTCCAGCAGGGACGCTTTTCTGAGCACATTCCAACGGATGGATGCAGATAGATTTATTCGTTGACTGGTTTCAGCAAAACACAATTTTTCCTGCATCGTAGATAGAGTCGCCCTCCCTCGAACTGCACATTGTAGTCGAAATACGTATGTAATGGACACCAAAATGAATTAAGTGTAATTATATGGAAGATAACCTTTGCAACCTTTGCTTTGCATTACTTCACTCAGAAATAAGGCTTCTGCAGTGATTCACCTTAAACCTGAAAAAAATCCTACATCTGCCATCATCATTGTGCCTCGTTACGACCCTGCGCAGACTCCGTGTTCTGACAGCGAGAAAAGTCATAACAAAGAAAAGCCGGCTACCGACTATGGCAAACTTCTCCATACTCTTGCCGTGTTCTCTGACTGGTTTGAATTTATTTTCTTATTTTACTTAAAAATGGAATTTTATAAACTATTGTTTTTCAGCTTTAGTGACGGTGACAAGTTACGCAAAATGAAGGCCATCATACAACGGGTAACAGCAGCTAAAGTCACCGGTACGTACGATAGCAATTCTTTTGATGTTGTGCAATCGAACAGTTTGGCAGTGGTCTTGATTGATTTGTCCGCAGCAAATTTGTGCAATACTTTTTATAGTAGAAACTATTTAGGGGTGAAACTATTAAATCTGTGTGTTGCGATGCATATTGATTCAGAAGTAATAGCGAATTCGTTTATTATCGCGGTTGCAACAAGTTCCAGCGAAACCGATCCTTTTGTCAGTGCGAACCTCAACCTGAGGTAGGTTTTATAAATAAACGATCAAACTGACCCAGGTTCATCCAGATTGGAACTGAATAATAAACTGCCCAATAAGCACCGACTAGTGCAAAGGTCTCGTTCAACGCCAGTATACGTTGACTGAAAACAATCGATTTAAACCGTGGTAGTTGAATGACCATCATGAATATTTAGAGTTAAATTATTTCTAGTAAAAAATACTTTTGAAAATCAACGGCCAGGATTACTTCATTTGGACAAACTTGATCACCATCATTCCGGTACTCGGACCGTGAAAGCGTGGCTAGTCGCATATGTTCAGCATGTGAGTCGCAGATAGAGCAACGAGTCGTAGAGCAACCAGATCCCGAGTGTCCTGTTTGTTTTTGATGATGTGATGCAGAGATACAAGTTTCACATTCCTCATGTTCTAATTTTACGAGTGATATAATTGCATTTGCTGGAAAAAGGATAGCTTACGTTTAGATCTAAACAATTTCCTCATTTTCCGCCAGATTTTTTAGGTTTTCCACAGGAAACCATGAGACAAATTTACTCATCGCTGAGTTCCTGCACTTTTGGCGATTATGAGTGAACTAAACTCAAATTTGGGTCGTTCTCATTCGCCGTGTAGGTGTAGAATTTCCTACACGCTATTTTGAGACTACTCAGTGCCTGGGTAGATCGTAATCATCTTTGCATGCTGTTGTCAAAAAATGAGTAAACTGGTTTTGCTCCTATGAGTGGAATCTACTCAGATTCTGGGTAAATGGTTCTAATATCAATTCAGTAATTGGCGAACTTTGAAGTTGTGAGCAGGCGATTTTGGCGCAGTGAGTCTAAAATTTGTTTTTAGATGCGAAACACTGAAAATTAATAGCTACTTAATACCCTGGATGGCGAAAGCTATCACCAGCTTGTTGATGAGCAATACAACTCTAACAAATAGGTTGGTATCAATAAATACAGAATTATCATTTTCATATTTTTTAAATATTCTCCTGGACTAAATAATTTATATATAAAGCATTCATGGGGCATGTATTCGTTTCTATCGAAATGGGTAAGGATTACTCAGTTGACAAATGTCATCATCTGAGTAACCGTTACCCAGTTTCCTCCATAAGCACGAACTGAGTGATTTTCGACTCAAAAATGAGTAGCCTCAAAAGTAGCCTCAGGCATCCATGGTGTAAATGAGATTAATTAGAAATAGAGCGTCCAAAGCGATTAACCTCTTAAATATGAAACATTATTTAATCATATCTGTTTTTTAGTCGGCGAGGAATTGATCAGTTCGATCGGGAAAGGTCTCTGCGTACTGATCGGTATATCTAACGAAGACAATGCGAACGATGTTGACTGGATGTAAGTGTACTAACATGCATGACTTCCGAAGTTCATTTCCGATGTTTACTAGGGCCAAAAAGCTACTTAACATCCGGCTCTTCGAAGACCCCTCTGGGAAACGGTGGTCTCAGAGCGTCCTGGATCAGCAGTTGGAACTGCTCTGCGTCAGCCAGTTTACCCTGTACCATCGGATGAAAGGTAACAAGCCGGATTTCAGCAAAGCCATGCAGGGCGTCGATGCCCAGAATCTGTACAATACACTGCTGGCAAAGTTGGCAACCCTGTACGAAGCGGATAAGATCAGAGATGGAAAATTCGGTGCCATGATGCAGGTGCACATACAGAACGATGGTCCGGTGACGTTGGAAATCGAATCACCTCCCCAGAGCCAGCAGGATCTGGACAAACTGAAACGAGCGAACGAGCACAAGGCGAAGAGTAAAAAGAGCGGTGGAGAGCCGGCAAAGGATGGTGAGGAGCAATAAAGGAATCGTTTTTGTTTAATGTAAGTTTGTTTAATTTTGGAAAGATTGTCATCCGGTAGATAAAGGCTTAAAATTAAGATTTCTGAAATATTTTTATTTTTCTCTAAATCAACTGCCTTCTTGCTGTCAAGAATTTTCATATTTATTCATAGTAAATATACAATCGAATATTTCATTTTCTCCGCAACAAGATTCGTATGGTCGCTGTTATCTTCTTTCTAGCTGAGTAAATCTTAGAACATAGGTTAGCACACATTGCGCTGGAAATTTTCCTACTTAAATAAAACAAATTGCCTTCGAGCAGTTTGCCAATTAACTCAAACTAAATATCAGTTATAACTTAAATGTTTTACCACATGCGTTTGTTTTGATTCTCAGTATAGTTCAGTAGTAGTGAGAGTGCACATTCAAAGTAGACTACATAAGTACGGAATCGAAAATTGCATATGCTATCGAAATCACAATTAAGGCAAGCACACACTGCTACTGCAATCAGTCGAACAATTCGGCATGGAATGCAACTAAACGGGGGAAGATAACCTATAATCTCTCATGCTCAAAGATAAGCCGGTCTGAGTTTTCTAACCTGTTCACAAGAGAAACGTTCGAGAATCTGCTCGTATAGCGCTATTTGATGGTGGGTTGATTTCATGATATGGTACTAAAACGTGAACGGTTAGGAAATTCAGCGGCTCATTTTCGATCGCGGTTTACTGTTTCTATAAAATGCGGCGATAATTTCATTGGATTTCCAGTTAAGAAGCGACATATTTTTGATCTGAAATATTTATTTTATCACTACTAACGATAAAGTTCGAGTGTTGTTGATGCGAATAAGATGTGCCTGCAGAGCACTGAAGAAGAGAAACATCAAGAAATATCATGCTTTTATAAACAACGACGCATATGAAAACAGCGTGTAAGCTCGTTTGAATTTATTGATTGTACTCATTGGAGCTGATATACTTTCGTGCAAAACTGTTTATGTGCTGTTGGGAAGGAAATTTTTTACTGTGGTTGAAGAAATAAAAAAATAAAATCGTTCGTAAAAAGGAGAGCGATTCTGTTGGAAATGAAATAAGTCTAGTCGCTTCACGTTACTTGACTCTTTGAATGATTTCTACTAAATTTTCAGTGGGAGGGATTTTGATCGACTATGTAATTTACATTATACACAAATTGGCGTTGGTAGAGTGTTGAGGTTTTTTTTTCAAGGTTACAAAAAATCTTGCAATTTAAAATTTCTGATCATCAATAATGGATTTTACCTTGCTGTTTGGGCATACACATTTTTTTGTTAAGGCTTCTTAATTACCTTTTCAAGCTCACCAACCAATTTGAGAGTGAACCTTTATTTGCAAAATAAATAAGTAATGACACGCTTCGGAAGTACGGCATGGTCCTCGAATACATTACATGCGTTTTTGTGTTCTGACCATCTACCACCAATATTTCTCGAATTAACCGGAATGGCAGCTATCAAAACCAAGGGGTAAGACAACTGTACTCAGAGTTAATATATTTGCAGTGAGTAAATTTGGCTTACCCATATTCCGGATTTCACACCTGATTAAGACTCCTGCGCTAAAAATAAGTACACAGTAATATTTTCGCACTGGTCATAAAAGTTAAATATGGAGCTTCTTAATGCTTTCTAGAGCTTTAATTCAACAGTGTAGCTCGTTAGTAATGTTATAAAGCTGTTACTGCTTTCAAATAAGTCGATTTTTTTTTAATTTTCTGGCATGTGCGAATTATGTTTTGCACAGGAGTCTAATTTGGTGCAAAATGCGCAATATTTACTCAAAAATAAACAAAGTAGTCTAATATTTGTCATCAAATAATGTTCAAACAATCGCCGTCTGACAGAATGTTTTGATTTCAAGATTTAGTTTCCATTCATTAAAAGATCGAAGTTAGATAGCTCTTGTCCAGGCCAGGGGATGTTTGGGTCTCTTTTGCATTCTAGGAATGGATGGCTAAAGTGTAGTGTCTTTGAAGTTTTTGGTAATGTGGTGGTGTTAGTGCTTCCATTTCCCAGATATTTCTAGCTACCCGGGAGTCTTAAAATAGCTGAAGACTCTTCCCGGGAATCGGGAAATATTTTTATCCAGTAACCAGGTATAATTTTCGGTAGCTATTTATTAAAACTTGAACTTCGTCAGGATTTCCCCCGGAAGGTGGTACATGGTGGTACACTTTGAGAGTACGAAAAATGAGCATGTAACGAAAGGGTCAGGTTTTGAACGCATATATCTCCAAAGCATTAGTGTGAAATATGTCATGCAATATGCCATTCGACGAGGGCTTACTTCAGCAATTTTGCGGCATATAGTACAAATAGTGAAAATAGTTAAACATCTAAGAAATTTAACTAAAATTTGTAGCATCAAAATTTCCCATACATTTGCTTGCACCATAAGGTGTATTTCCTAACAAAGACATCACATAGTTGGTCCCAAACGAATCCGTTGCCACATTTCCTTTCGAACTTCAGACGTGTTCGAAAGGCTCCACAAGCAGCTTGCTGCCAAGGCTGCCTGCAAGAACGCTCTAGACAGAAGAGCAGTGATGAAGCCACACTGTCACTGTTTGGGTACAGCATTGCGGGCCACCGTCATCAAGCACGTTATCGTCATGTCGAAGCTCACCCAAGCTCAAACTAGCTCACCGTATCCGTGGAGGTCTCAGAATTTTATTACTTACTACCAATGGAACAGCGCCATCTATGTGAAAAATACCCTTGACTTAATGGTTCATTTTGTCAACATCCTAGCGAAGCACTACTCGCATGAAAAATTCTAGAAGTTACCACCACGTGTTGCAACCTGATTGGATAATGCAACTACCAATCACGTGTCAGCAGCCACTATATAAACCGTCGAGCCGATCCTCATTCTTGTGCTTTTGTGATTACATAAGAGTTGAATAGTCCTTACTTCTTTTGAGGGCCATGCAACATCAAAATGGCCCTTTTCAGGGCCACCACAATTTTCAAAGAAAGAGTTAGTTTGGAATATTTTCTAACACAAGATTTATTACACATGAACTGAAAAAGAATCTTATTAGTATTAAACGGGAATTGGGAATTTTAATTAACGTTCGTTCAAAAAAGGTTAACATACGTGAGCGTAGTCCTACATCAACTGTTCGTGCAACCCCATTGGGCTGTCCCTTGTAGTTTATTCATACTGGGATTGTCCAGAATCCCCCTTTGGATTGACTGGATTATTTGGAATCCCCCCTGGACTGTCATGAAACCCCCTCAATATTGAGTGAAATCCTTCCTGTGATTGTGCAGAATCTCCCCTGGGATAGTCCATATTCCTTCTTTAGATCTTCCGAAGTCCACTTTAATATTGTTGGGAAGCCGAACTGGGATTGACTGAAATTCCCCTTAGGCTTGTTCGGAATCACTACTGAGACTGTCGTAAATCCCCTTTGCGATTGACTAGGGATTGTACAGAACCCCTATAATAGAACGTCATCGGCATGGCAGTAAAGCAAGACAGCTCAGACTGTTCCGTAAGGTCACCATAAAAATCCTCCATCGGTTTTGAGGGGGCAGCTTGTAGTTCCTTTCGTACACGTGCAATTGCCCTTCCACACACTTAATCTAGCTCGGTAAAATCTCCAACAGCCGATTACCTCGGCATTTACTTTTGCTGATATCTCTGCAAAATATCTGTTTGTTAGCTGATATATCAGCAAAATCCGAGGCAAAATCATATTTGTTTGCTGAGTCCCGGCAATTTTTTTACTGAATCTCAGCAAAATAAATTGCAGAACTACTGCGCTGTTGGAATCTCGGCGAAAAAATTTAAGTATGCATTGCCGAACGATCTTCCCGATTAAGTATTGCAAACGCACCGTTTAAAATGTTGTTGATTTGCTTTGCTTGACAGTATCGGTTGCTGTGTGTATTTGATGTTGAGCAACGCGAGTTACCCAGAGTTACTCAAAATTAACTTCGATTTTACTCATGATCAAATAAGAGATGAACTAGCCTCAGGCTAAAAATCTCTAAAATAAAGATTAAAAAAAAAAAAAAAAAACTCATGATCAAAAGCTGTCTTGCCCCAAGATCAAAACGTAATATTAAAACGATCACATGCTCTTTAAACCATGTAAAAATGCTCTTTTACTGCGTAGCTACTCAGATTTACTTGTCCTGCCCGTATTTTTTTTTTACTGAGAAAAAGAGCGAGTACGTGTGCTAGGCGATTCCCGATCTGGATGTTCACAGAAGTTATGGGAATTACGTAGAAGTTTTGCGAACTTTCTAGAAGTCCAGCAAATAAAAGTTCAGTGAACTATAAGAAAGCTCTGAGAAATTTATAGAAACTAAGCGAACTTTGTACAACTTCACCGAACTACGTAGAAGTGCAGAGAATGTAGGATTTCTTGAAATTTCATAGGAATTCAGCAAAATTTAGATAAATTTCGAGAATCTTATAGAAACTCGGGGAACTAGCTGAAGTTCAAGAATTTTTCTTTAGCTCTATCGAACTTCGTAAAACTTCCAACACTTTATCGATGTTCATGGGACATCGTAGCAAGTCAGGAAATTAAAGGCTGACAGTGGTTTGTTTAAACTTCTATAGAGAACAACTGGTGCAAGTTTGATCAAAGTAGTCAAAGTAGTCGATTGCGTTCAGAAATAACGTCAAATGGAACTCAAAAGAAGAAAAAATATTGTGCCCAAACACCTGGCGAATCCGGAGTGGTCCGGTTCTAAGCTGGCTAAAGTGCTGAAGATGCCAAAAACAACAGTTTGTGGAGTGCTCAAAACCTACACCTACCCTGAGTGTGGAAAGGAATCAGCGGACCTCCGAAAAAACTGGAACCAGGGATCGTCAGCTGCGCAGCAAGGTTAAAGTCAACTCCGGTCTTTCGATCCGAGATGTGACCAGAAGCTACAACGCCAACTTTCAAACGGTGCGGAACATCCTTGCCAGGGAAGGATACAAGTCGTACAAAACCAGTAAACAGACAGTGGCCAAAAAGCGTGCAAGGC